GGTACTACAGTTGAGCTTTTTATTTAATTTTTCTTGTGTTCTGAACATACATAGAACACACTCTACTAAACTGATAATTGAACCATCCTTGATAATGGCTAAAAGTATAGCCGAAAGCGCTCGGAAAAACAGAACATTCGGACAGTTCTTACACACTTTTTGTCCAGAAAAGAAAACATTTGTCAGAACACAAGAAAAAATTAAATAAAAAGCTCAACTGTAGTACCTTGTCTGTCGTTTTAATGAAACATGCATAAAGGAAGGATTGCTGCCTAAATATATATATATATATATATATATATATATATATATATATATATATATATATATATATATAAAAAAAAAAAATTTTTTTTTACTTTAAGGTACCATTACAATAATTTATTTCAGCAGAGTCCTTTTTAAAAGGACGCCGGATCATCAGATAGCACTTCCAACAATGAAATGAAACGAAAAATGAGATTAAATTATTGTAATGGTACCTTAAAGTGGTCTGTTTTTTTTTTTAAATATTAGCTCTGGTTTTACATAGCCATATTATGAATATTTCTTTTTTTTTTTATAATAATCCTTTCTAGTTTTCTAATTATATTTTTTCTGCTGAAATTCATCAAGGAAGGCATCTCTGGTCAACACCCTTGCTTTGGGAACGCTTGTTTACAAAAACATCGTATCCACAACGGTTAATTTTAAAATAATTATAACAGAGCGCGTTCACGTGTATTTATAAAAATTACCATCACAACGATTACAGTGGATTTAATTTTGTTTCCGCAGTTCTGTAGAGATCGAAAAATACGGCACCTTCCTTGATGAATTTCAATATATATATATATATATATATATATATATATATATATATATATATATATATATATGTTGTGGATTCCGGGTTGAAATCCGGTACCAATAAATAACAACCGCCAGGAATGAATATATGAAAATAATGTATTAACGTAATAATACAAACTAGTAATGCAGGTTAGTAGTTCCAGGAATGCGGGTTAGTAGCAAAATATCTATACAGTCTTTGGTATTGAAGTATCGCTGTATGATTTCTTACTGAGTCTACGTGCTCGCTCATTGTGACTTTTGCTGGCTACGTTCGTTCTGTCTGTCTGATACCTCTCTCTCTCTCTCTCTCTCTCTCTCTCTCTCTCTCTCTCTCTCTTCCGGTTACCTATAACCTTTCACTCCTCTCTCTTGTCTTTCTGTCTCGCTCTCTGTCGGGTCTTCACGTAGCAGTAGTATATGTATATACTGAGTGAGTCCATTTGTGTAAAAAGAAGAGGACCCCTCGACAATATATATATATATATATATATATATACGTTTGAGTTGGGGGTAAGGGAATGTAAAAATTATCCTTTGTGTATAATGAAGTGGGAGAATAGACACTACGGCTAATTTTCTTACTCACTTACCCCTACCATACGAAAAAAATTAAGAATACTAAAAAACTCAACCGAAAAACATCAAAATCTCCTCGTCATGTTCAACGAAACATGTTTTAAAGCAAGGTTGCCCAAATATATATATATATATATATATATATCATTTAGGGAGGTGCTCGCGTATGTGTGCGCGCGTTTGTGTGTGTATTTATATATGTATATATGAGTTGCTACTAAGAATTTAGTAAAATGCCTTCCTCAATAAAAACTGATATGTTCCGGAAAGGGATATATTTGTTCGAAGTAGCAAAGTGGTTTGGGGACTACTGTAACCAGGTAGGACAATCTAGCAGGTAACCGTAATGGACTGGTCCTTTTTGTAGTGGTAGGCAATAGGCGTTGGCAATAGGCGTAACCAATAGGTGTCGTCCATGTACCTCCACATCAGTCTGTATTTATGGCTGACACCATCCAATCATATTACTGTGAAGGGGAACCCAAGTGTATGCATATTCATTACATCAAAAACAAACATTAAAAATGTGATTCAATATTACTCGGTTGACTGATCATGAGATATGTGTGGCATGCCTGGCGAGACATGGGAAACAATTGGTGATTTCACTTATGAAGAGATTACATTGTTCAATATGTTTTTGTTGTGCGAAAATTTGGCTTGCACATCGTATTCATGCAAATGTATATACATATATATATATATATATATGTGTGTGTGTGTGTGTGTGTGTGTGTGTGTGTGTGTGTGTGTGTGTCTACTCTTGCCAAATATGTGAAGAGTCTGGTACACTAAAAAAAAGTATAATTATCTAATTTTCATGCAAGATACTCATCGTTATACGTTTTGAAACGAAGAAATATGAAGAAAAATGGGTAAAAACAAGTCTTGCTCGGAGCTATAATAGTGGAGACTAGATGCTGACGACTCCAATGACTCCGACGGTGCTCAGTATGAAAAGGTGGCAAAGATAAAGACCGTATTCTTAACGAGTTTTCTTTTCTTCTCTCTCAGAAAAATTATCAAAATGAAATCCTTTCCCGCTAGGATTTGCGGCTTTTCTCAGAACTCAGCGTGTCTCTCCACAGCATGAATTTAATTTGCTTTTGTAACTTACTGCTCTATCTAAACTCTATTATTAAGGCAAGGAGAAAGGTTATTTATTGCGATGGAAAATATTCACAGGGGTTGTCAATGCCTTGTGTGATTTTAAAAGAGAGGTGAAGTAGACAATATATGAACGAAAATAGTTAATCTCATAAAAAAAAAACCCACCGATAATTTGTTAGTGTGAAGTTCTTGAAGGAAGTATTTTGACGCTTACGTTAGTTTCTTTTTATGCTTTTTGGGGGATTTTATTTTAACTGCCCTAAATCGGCTAAAAATATTGTGAAACAAAATAAACAGAGAAAATACATGTGAAAGCAAAAATACTTCACCTCAGAATTTGAAAATATCTTCACCAGTTCATCAGCTTACAGATGTTCTATACGGTGAAGTTTTTTTCACTCAAATCTTGTCTACTTCTAATTTCTTTCTATTACGGTCTTTGTCTTATTATTTTATTGCAGTGTTTCCCAACGTGGGCGACAGTGACCCCCTTGTGGGGTCTGATATGCTGAAAGGGGTCACTGGTAATTTTTATTTCGTTTGTGTGGAGGTGAACATACTCAGAGGTGTGCATTTACCCATATTTTTTTTTTCAAAATTTATTAAATATAGGCTACAAAAGGAAATTTCTGAAAGGTATCTCGCTGTGGGAAGCTATCAAACTTTTGGTATCTGTCTATATTTCTGAGATGAGATATTATGTACACTATTTAGATAATTCGGACTATTGTCCTCATCTTTGTCACCATATTTATTAGAACGTTTCGGCCGTTGTACGCTCCGGCCTTCTTCAGGTGGTTGGAATGTCGAACTGAACCCTTTATTTCGCTCACTGAATACAATATGGGAACCAGTAATAAGGATTGCCAGAGAAAAGCGATAATAACAACAAAAATTGCATTATGAGCTCTGGTAAAATATTTGCGATAACAGCAAAAAATTGCAATATGAGCACTGGTAAAAAAAAATGTTGCTGAAGACATTAGGTTTATAATACCCCAAAAATTATGTACACATCAAGGACACATGGCACAGTGGATAAAGCCGTTAGTTAGACCCAGTGACAGGACCCAAAGAGTGTGAGTTCAATACCCGGTTAAGGCAGTGGTGAACTTGGAGAGAGGAATTAACAGGAGATAACTGAAAACTGATATCCATCGGCACGTGGAACTAGAACAGTCTACCCCAGTGAGCGAAATAAAGGGTTCAGTTCGACATTCCAATCACCTGAAGAAGGCTGGAGCGTACAATGGCCGAAATAAATATGGCGACAAAGATGAGGAAAATAGTCCGAATAATGTAAATAGCGTATCAAACTTTTCTTCATGTCTTTTCCAAATTTTTGCATGGCTAAATGTGGTTTCAACGCAATTCTTATTAAACAAGGAAACTGCCTGCAAATTACAAAACAAAGAAGATCTACGATTACTTTTAAGCAGCATGGAACCTAGATTAAAAGCCTTAGCCAGTAATTACCAAAGTCAACCATCGCATTGAAAACATTGAGATAAGCAATCAAATGAACCTAGATTAAGAGCCTTAGCCAATAATTACCAAAGTCAACCATCGCATTGAAAACATTGAGATAAGCTATCAAATAAAAGTTGTTTCTTTTAGTATTTATAATCATCGGTATTTATAATGGAAATGAAGACAATATTAAAATTATTTTTGCATTAATACTTAAGTATTATCTAGCTATAAAAGGCGAATCCAGTCCAGTATCTCGAAAAGGACCTCCATTTTGTGGTTGACTAGGACAGGAAATGGCTTGCAAACTTTAATACCTCCGAAACAAAACTACTCTCATTTACCCACCATAGAGAAACCTCCCTGCGTCCTATCAGCATGGCTGATGCTCAACTCCATGAGATCGTGTCTCTGCACCTTCTTCGGCTCACGTTTTCCACTGATCTGAGGTGGAACAACTACATTGAATCAATAGCATCATCTACTGGAAAGAAAGTTGGTTCTATGTGTCGCACCAGAAGGTTTTTTTCTCGTCTGAGTCCATCTTTCACATCTACAAATTTATCATTCGTCCCTGCATGAAATACTTTTGCCATATATGGTCTGGTGCCCCCGCTGTTCATCTCGAGGTTCTCGACAAAATCTGGAGTCGGATATGCAATGTGATAGGTCCTGACCTGGCATCTCGTCTACAGTCACTTTCGCACAGACGTGATGTGGCTTCCCTCTTTCTTTTCTATAAATATTTTCATAGCAACTGCTCTAATTTAAAACTATTTTGAATCTCTGAACTCGAAGGTAAATATTATATGCAAATATAAACATCAACTATTATCATGTGTATATGCGAATGAATCAATAACTCCGTAGCAGACAGATACTTTATAGATCCTAAGCAGAGGAGTAACATTCTGATCTTAAGTATATATCTTCTAATCGTAAGAACAAGTGACTATCCATACGTAAATGACCCAGTAATTTTACGAATAATACGCTGCATATATCCAAGTTTACAGCACCTGGTATTTCCAAGCGGTCACCCATCTAGGTATTGACCAGGCTTGATGCTGCTTAACTTCGGTAATCGCACGAGAACTGGTGTTTCAACGTGATATAGCTGTAAGCCGGTTGTTGTAAGTTGGTAGGTTGTTTTATTGATTTTGTTTAGCGGCATATCAACACGTCTTTGGATTATATAATGCCGAAATCTATATATTTTGAACGCAATTATACGCCTTCAACTAAATATATTTTGAACGCAGTTGTACGCCTTCAACTAAATATATTTTGAACGCGGTTGTATGCCTTCAACTAAATATATTTTGAACGCAGTTGTATTCCTTGAACTAAATATATTTTGAACGCAATTGTATTCCTTGAACTAAATATATTTTGAACGCAGTTGTACGCCTTCAACTAAATATATTTTGAACGCAGTTGTACGCCTTCAACTAAATATATTTTGAACGCAGTTGTATGACTTCAACTAAATATATTTTGAACGCAGTTGTATGCCTTCAAGTAAATGCATTTTGAACGCAGTTATATGCCTTCAACTACAGATAAAAGGTATTGTTTGTAATTTTACTATAAATATTTATTGTTGGTCCTTTTTCATATAAAATGTATTGCAGGTATTTTTACTTTAAAAATGTATTTTCATACTTTCATAGTGTTTTGTTTTTGTTTGAGAGGTTCACTATTTTCCCATAGCAGGGACCCCAACAGGTGCTACCACCCCGGTTGTTGTAAGGCTGTAAAGAAGGAGAAGGTAAGACGTATATGTGGAATAGATATCGATTGACCCTAGACTTGAAGAGGTTAAGATTATAGTCCTCAGGGAAGTATTCTCGCTGGAGTTCGTTCCACAGTGTGACCGTTCTGGGGAAGTTAAAATTCCTCCTTATGAAATGTATACGAAGGGAATGAGGATGATTTGGCGCCGTATACATGGTATGGCGGGTCCTAGTAATGAAGGTCTGAACTGATGTGACTAAGGAATGTAGCTCGTCTGAACATTTACCATAATACCAGCGATAGGATAGTGAGGGTCTAGTAACGTTTCGTCTGTGAGGAAACCGGTTGCAGGGTGGAAAATAATGAACTTGCCACAAAAAGATAAATGATAGACTTGAAGGTACATATATATATATATATATATATATATATATATATATATATATATATATATATATATTTTTGAGGCTTAGCTCGATACAAACCAGGATAGAACATGAGAAAAACAAAGTTTTCTGTGGAAAAAAACTGCCAAATGAAGCAAAATCCCTAAGAATTAACAGGCTTTGACTCATTGGATACATCTGGAGAAAGAAAGTAGGGCTGATGACTAAAGTACTCCCGGGGGAGCATAAACATGTAAAACAGAAGAGTGAGGTAGACCAACAAAAACATATGCAGATCAGCTATGAAACGATATTGTTTTGAGGAGAAAAGAACTAATGGAAATCATGGAAGATAGAAGAATAAAAAACTAGTCAATAGTGTTTGGATTTGATCGAAATACGGCACAATAGAAAGGAAGATTGTACTACGCCAATATTCTAAATGAAGCCGTAACTTTTACCTGGACTCAGAAACTGAACTCTGACATGCAAACTATAAATGTGAATGTTATTTCAGCAACATGGAGGCGAAATGCCTTTGTCGTGATAAGCTCGTGATTTATGAGAATATTTTAGTCTTCATTGCCAATCATTGAGGGCATCTGTGCTCTTTGAAAACAAAATACCACCCTACAGTCGCTGAAACTAATTACGTATCTTGGAACACACTTACGTCAGAGTTCAGATCATATCTAAACTTTTCTTGGTTCAGGCCACTTTTTCAATTGCCAGGTTCGTGGCTATAGTTCATTTTCAAATCGGCGTTGTCATGTGAGAAATTTTGAAATTCCTTAGATGAGGCGGTTTTGATTAAAATCAACTCCAGTGCGAGAAGATTTATTTAATGTATATTTCAGGCGTCAATTTCCCTTCGTTTTGTTAGAGAGCAAGTGATAGCATGATCGAAGTTATTAGAAAGAAAAAAATTAAGAAAGAAAGAGAGACGGAGGAATAACTAGAAAGAAAGAAAGAAAGAAAGAAAGAAAGAAAGAAAAAGAAAGAAAGAAAGAATAGACGAAAAATAATTCAAATGGAAGAAATCAACATGGGAGAAAAAGAAAGAAAGCAATGAAAAAGAAATCAAATAAAATGAAAAAGAAAGAAAGAAAAATGAAAAAGAAAGAAAGAAATATGAAAATGAAAGAAAGATTAGAAAAAAAGAAAAATGAAAAAGAAAGAAAGGAAATAAAATAGAACAAAACGGAATAAAAATTAAATAAATCAAAATAGAAGAAAAAGAGAAAAAGCAATGAAAAATGAAGAAACCGAACGCAAGAAACAAGAAAAGAAAAAAAGGAAAGCAAAATAAAAATGAAAGAAAAAATCAAAATGAAAGAAAGAAAGAAAGAAAGAAAGAAAGAAAGAAAGAAAGAAAGAAAAAAGCATCTATAATCGAATCCATGGACATTTTCCTGAAGAATGTAAGGGAATAGTCCCTGGGTGGGGTGAGGAGCCAATCACAGAAATCTTGTACAATTTAACATTATAATGGGACCATGTGAAATTTAGCCAGACATTGTTGTTAAAAAGCCACGATCGGCGCCACGGTAGGTGTTTGTCTGTTTTGTTTATTCGAAGATGTGAGCAACGGAGTCGCCTTCAAAAGACACAAACAAATGAAAAAAAATTCTGCGGTTTGAAGTAAATACAATTAAAAATGAGAACAAAATGTCAACTTCGCTCAGATACGGTTCGGGTCTGACGGAAAGTTATGTGCGGCTAATTGGAACCTGTCCTGTTACCTCAACTCTTGTTGCAATGAAGTGAAAAAGAAAAAAAATCTCAATCGAAGCGTAACGTTAGATTTCTTTTATGTTTTTTTAATGAAAAATGCATTTATTAAAAAAGACTATCGCATTGAAAAAAATAGCCAATAGTAAACACCAAAACAATAAAATGTTTTATGTTATGCATTCCCGAACTCATATGTAAGAAGCTAGGCCAATTTTAGTCTAAGCAAGGTGATGGCTGATGAGATTAGTACTGAACATTCATAAAGAGAGGGTAGGACCAAATTTATGGATATTCTAGGTTTACATCTCTTCTTCTTAACGGTCTGTCTCCAAAAGGAAGATATTCTGGAATATTGCGTTCCTCCATGTTTTCCTGCCGACCTATCGGACAGCAATTAAGCTACCTCCCGCGGAAGGCTATTGATTGGGCCTTCGGCTTCTTCAGGAATTTTAGAATCCCTAAGTCAACATTGGGAGCTCTCTTGGCTACTGTTTGATCTGCGTTTTCATTTTTTTTTTTTTTAAGCATTTTACACCAAGCAAGGCGGGAAACCATTAGCACGCAAGGGGTTACTGAGAGTTGGAGCGAGAGCAAAGAGGAGTGATAGAGGAAAGGATGAAGGGAAGGATAGGGGATAGATCCGGGCATCTGGAGACGTCGATTGACATTACATTTGGATAGGTAGAGATTATAGCTATCAGAGAAACAAGAAATGTGGAGGGAGTTCTACAGGCGAGAAGTGCAAGACATGAAGCTATTGGAGTAGAAAAGACGGCTACATTTAACCGTGTCGACAGTGAAAGGGGGAGAGCGAGATGCCAGCCTAGTTGAACGCTTAAATTCATGAAGTCTGGGAACCAGTGAAAGTAGCTCATCGGAGCAGTTATCGTGAAAGTATTTGTAAAAAAGACAGATGGAGGCAACGGCACGTCTGTGCTGCATGGGACTTTCTTTTCCTCTCTGCAGTCCTGGCTTTTTTTGCTTGCAATCTTGTCCTCTGTTGATAGACATTTCTTTTTGCGAGGCATACTGCTGCCGTATGTGATAGGCAATAATAAACTGCATTTAAGTATTGCATTAATATTTAAGCTTACCTTTTAAAAGTTCAACGATAATTCTTCTGCCGCCACTTAATTTAAAGACAATTTGATGAACGTAGGTCCTTACTTTCCGTACATACAATTATTTTCCTTTCATGGATCAATTTCACTGGATTTCGCAATTAATTTTGATTATTCCCAAATTTAATTGCAAGTTTTAAAAATTGTTATCGTACAAAAATTCGTCGGAAAATAATCACGGAAAAATCACCGAAAACACTCGCAGTAATGGAAACTTGGGAATCCAAAATTTCAGAATTGTTAGTCCAGATCTGGTCTGGAACGTTTTTAATTTGCTCACAAAACCGGCCTGATTCCAAAATTGTATAGTATGTTGGGCTACGGCCTCTAGGATTAAAGTTGAAAACACGGACAATTTTATTTTGAAACACTGTAATTTGAGAGCTGTAATTTTTTTTCATTTGAACATTGGCTATTGAAAGTTAAAGAGTTGTGTCTCATAAATTGTTTTTATCACTAGAAGCCAAGATGGCGGAATCCAAAACAATCGCAGTAATGAAAACTTGGGAGTTCAAACTTTCAGGATTTCAGGGTCCGGATCAGACCCAGAATGTTATTAATTTTCTCACGGAGTCGATCAAAATGGAATGATATGTTAGGCTAAGACCTCTTGGAATAAAGTTGAAAAAGTGTGACACACTGACATTTACATTTATTTTTATATTTCACTTGAAAGAGCATAATTCAATCTCAAACCATTTAAAGGAACGGTTATGTCCACTTTCATAATGTAGACAGATATTAGTCGAAAATACATTTACCAAAACTTTAAATTCGAGAGAATGGAGGCCAAAAATAAATAGTCAACTATAAATATATATCAACAAATCTCTTAAATGTTTGTAGCAATAAAGTTTTATATAAAGTACTAAATTAAAATATTATATTAAAAAAAAATAAAAATAAAAATCATTTTTTAACTATTAAAATAAAAAATTACAAAAGTTACCCACCTTGCATATTGGAATTTGAAACGCTGTAAAAGAACAGTGAACACAGGCAGAGATATTGTAACTCCCTGAAAATAGTCTCAGAAGAGATTGAAAATATTTTGGATTTTTTCTTAATCTATTTTCCACATCCATCAATAAATTAATTCGTGGACTTGAAAGGATTAAAACTAAAATAAATAGACAAAATATATATATTATGAAATGAACAAGGTCCGACAATTATTTTAAAACATTTTATTTTTATACATTCTTTTTATAGATACAAATATTTAAGTAAATCGTCTGTTTTTAATAAACAGTATTAAACAACATTTAACGGCCTGAATGTCCGAGAAATTTTCATAGAAAATATTTGTCCTCCGATAGGATTCGAACCTGTATCCTATACAGGACCGTCATATATATATATATATGGCACGTCAGGCTATATAACGGTTCCGTATTGGATATTTTCTATGACAATTTCTTGGACATTCAGGCCGGTAAATGTTGTTTATTATAAACAGAGCATTTACTTCTTAAATATTTGTATCTATAAAAAGAACGTATAAACATAAAATATGTCTTGAGTAAGAAAAATACCCAAATTTTCTTAAAATATTTTTTATTTTGCAAAAGTTTTCCTGAATGAATTTTCTAAATCTACTAAAAAAATAAATCTATAACTTGAAAGGATCATAATGAATAAAAAAGACATGATATGTCTAAATTATTTAACTTTGCCTGTTTTAATAATATATATATATATATATATATATATATATATATATATATATATATTAACCAAACCTGTTTGGATGAAAATATGATGCCTAAATATATATATTCTCTGTATATTCTCCCTTCAATATTAGCGAAAAGCAGGAATGACAATAGGAAGATTGTGCTTTGCCGATATGAAAGCTTCAATCCTACCTCGATTTCTTATGTTAATATTTCATGGTTTTAACATCTTTGGACAAGACTACCCCTTGTTCAGTCTGTTCTACGTTCAATTTCCAAAACTAAATTTGTTATAAACTGAACCAGACACCGATTTATTTGAAGCAGTGGCGAATGAGGTGAGATGTAATGTATTTAAAATTGTTAATATTTTTTGGGAATGATTTATAAATAACTTTTATTTGCTTCTGAAGCAGTTTACCTTCAGGTAATGCCGGGTAATTTTGTGTCTAAATATACACCCAGTTAAAAGAAGAAAGAGAAAAGACCCCACTCACCTCTTTTGTTTCTGTTTTCATTTGTCTGTGTTTAGACTTTAAACTTCTGGGAATAGACCATGAGGTCGTCAGTGCGGCTGAGGAAATGTTTTGAAAAAAAAAAACTCAAAGACGTAGAATGGAAAGAATAGAGTGAATGAAAATGTAAGTGAAAAAGAGATGATTGAAAATTGGAAACATTGTTCAAATTAAGAAGGTTAGAGGACACTCGGGTTTACCTGCACTTGAAGTCACGACGGAATCGAAGCAGACAAAGCGTAATTGCTTAAAATCGCTTTTGGTCGCATAAGCTCTGAGAAAAAAATATATGTGATGTGACCTAGTGATTATAGATAGGGATTTAGTTTTTACGGAAGGCAAAACGAAAATGTATTTAAGGGTTAAATGTTTTCTTATTTAAAGACACATTCATAAAAAAAATAATGATAGGGACAGATACGAAACATATGGAAGTGTGATACAACGCAAAGATAAGTTTGCTTCTTTTTTTTTTTAATTTTTTCAATCCTTTTTGTGCTTATAGTAGTTTTCGTAATTTTGATGTCGTCATCCCAGTAAAAAAAATATTTCAAATGGAAAAAAAATGAAAAAGCGCTAAAAAAAATTCAACATAAAAGAATCTTCTTCCTTCCTTTCTTCTTTTCTTGTTCTTTCTTCGTTGTCACGTTCTCCTTCTTTTTCTTCTTTCCATTTTCTTCTCATTTGTGTGTGTGTGTGTGTGTGTGTGTGTGTGTGTGTGTGTGTGTGTGTGTGTGTGTGTGTGTGTGTGTCTTGTTCTGTTTCTTTCTTTATGTTATAGCATACCTACGGACGATAATGGGTATGTATATCCCCATTCGCATAAATACAGTAGTAAATACTGTATGTTGGTCTGCAGTTGGAAATCCATCTTCAGCTGTGCTGCTCAAACTCTCTGTCGCCGGGCATAGAGGATCCCCAGACGAGGCTAAGTCGAAGGGCAAAGTTTCGTTTCGGTAAACTGCTATCCGACCCGGTGTCTACGTGGAATTTTTGGCCGAGCTTACGGGCTCAGATACCCCAGATTAAATTCAGCCTTGTGCCACTCTGGCCGCCCGGGGCGGTTGGTAGATACCCTGCAGTCGGAGATTCGTCTCCAGCTGTACTAGTCAAACTCTCTGCCTCCGGGCAAAGAGGATCCCCAGACGAGGCTATGTCTCTGGAAACATCTAACCGCCCTGTTTTATACGGTGCCTACGGGGAATTTTTTGCCGAGCCTACAGGCTGGGATACACCACATTAAATTCGGCTTTGTGCCACATCAGACCGCATGGGGCACATGGTAAATATTCTGCAGTTGGAGATTCCTCTTCAGCTGTGCTGGTCAAACTCTCTACCTCCGGGTAGATAGGATTCCCAGAAACGACGCTATGGTAAGAATCTCGTCTCGGGAAACAGCTACCCGTATCCGTTGTACACGTGGTCTACGGGAAATTTTTGGCCGAGTCTACGGTCTCGGATACCCCACATTAAATTCGGCCTTGTGCCACATCTGACTGCGTGGAGCGGTTGGTAGATATCCTGAAGTTGAAGATTCATTGTGGAATTCACTTGACTCACTTCTAGCAGTTGACTACTTCTGCGCGCCGCTGGCGAATCTTATATGTGTTGTTCTTGTCCTAAGTATTATCGTTCATTACCAACCTTCGTGTGATAATTCTATTCAGTAACACTCCCTAGGTTACAACCCGTTATTTGTTTATCACATTTTTACTTCTTTTCTTTGTCTTCTCATTTATTGTCTTTTGTTTTTCCTTTCTTTTTTTTTCTTTTTCGTGTCTTCTTTTTAGTCACTTCTTTTTTCATGTGTATTTTTTGGCTTGCTACTTGTTATTTTGCATCTTATTTTCCAAGCCTTTTAATTCTCAGTATTTTTTTAGTCTTTGTTGTTTTCTTAATGTTTCTTTTATCCCTTATTCCCTTATAGACATTTCTCTTTTTTTCTTTTCTTCTTTATTTTCATCCTCATTTTCTTCTCCGTCGTTATTGTCTCTTTCTATTCTCCTCCTCCATTTTTTTTTTTGTTTTTTGAAATTCCTCTTTGTTTTGCAACCTTTGGTTCATTCCTCATCATTGTCACCATCGTTTTTATATCTGCACAAGATGCAAAATTGAATCGACGAATTAATCTGAAATATTTAATTGAATTTATTTAAAATTAATTTTTATAAATCTTTGCATAACAAACGGTTATTTTTCTAATATTTTTCCAGATTTTTTATTCTCATATGAACATACAAATTAATATTTCAACGAAAGAAAAACAATCGTTTTCTTTTTTCTTTATTGACTGGAGGCCAAACGATAGCTTGCATGATTTATTATTTCAAAGTACGAGGCGAGGATTCGTTCAATATTAAAACAAACAAGATTTCTACTGTCAGAAAAAAAAAATTTCTTTTGATTTTAATTCTCCAACTTCGTTCATTATTAAAACTTACGCCATTTTGTTTGTTTTTTTTTTTTTTTTTGTTTGTTTGTTTTTGTTTTTTTTTTTGTTTTTTTTTTGTTTTTTGGGTTTTTTTTTGGGGGGGGGTTAAAGCATTTCGCCCCAAGCAAGGCGGGAGTGCCATTAGCACGCAAGTGAGTGAGAGCAAAAGTAAAGAGGCGTGTTTGAGGAAAAGATAAAAAGAAGGACAAAATCTACCGTTTTGGAGCTAGAAGTTCGAACTCATTCCCGTTGCGGCAGCCATTACTGGCGTTGTTTGCATATATTTGCTGCGGAATTAACATTTACTTGTCTTGATGATAGCGCGCGCAATGAGTCCACAGTTGCGCAGTAATAGAGACAAGAAAGAGCAGTAAAAAGGCCATTAAAAAGGTAATCTTCTGCGCAGATCTTTTCAGCAGCGAATGTATGCAAACAATGCCTGTAATGGCTGCCATGCCATAACGCGAATTAGTCTGAACTTTTATTGTCGATAACTCCAAAACGGAAGATTTTATCAAAATTTCTTTGTCATTTTCGAGTTAAGCATGTACATTTGTACCTAAATATAACGTTTCGGAAAATGTTTATTAAGTACTTAGCGCGGGGCTTAAAAAGCAAATTACCCAATTTTAGAAAGAGAAAATTTTACACAAATATGTTAGAAAATTTCACAATGTAGGGAAAACTAAACGTCAGTTTAAACTGACATCAGGACGATATTTGTTTGGTATAAAATAATGAATGTTATTGTATCCTATCCTCCACTAAGCGGATGAAGCACTGAATATTATTATAAAAGCCTAACGTGCTTACACAGGAATGAAGGTCAGAAAGAATAGGAGTCTGAAATAAAGAACCACCCGGGCCATGAATAAAATGGCTTCTGACGAATCAAAACAACTTTGTCACATTCAGAGCTGAAAGAAGTGGCTTCGTTTTGGATCTTCGATGAAAGAGATACTCTTTCAAATCGATTTCCGGAACATTCTCACTGAATTAACCCAAACTGATGAACTTGAAAAGAGAACAGGAAAGCATTTTGAGAGAGAGAGAGAGAGTACTTTCTTGCGTGAATTAAACGTGATTTCGAATGAGAATCTCACGTGAATAGAAAAATGTTTAACAAAAGAGAACAGATGCGGTGGTCCCTCTGCCTCCCTTAAATGCACACCAAGCTATTATTCTACAACAAAACACTTCTTTCACTTTAAAAAAAAAAGAAAGTTAACGTTATTTTTTTAAAATCCATCCCAATTTACACTTACTTTGACGATTTTTCGCCGTTCTTCATAGTAGGAAACGTTGCATTATAGAATTTCCAAAATGAAAGCCTCAGCTAGATTATCTCCGTTCAATAGAAAATTGAGGCGGACTGTCGAAAGAAGTCACAAGGACAGGCACCGAATGTGACGTATATAAGAAAGAAATAGCATGCAACCTAGGAGTAAGACTCGATATTAAAAGATAATCACCTGTGAGCGGCCGAAGGAGACGGCGCTTGAAAGAAGAAAAATATCGAGGCAAGAAAATTAGTTGAAAATAAACAAACTATAGTTAAGACACCTTTAGCATTTTTGGACATATCAGGGTGTTTGCGGCGCCAAAACTATTCACATAAAAGCGTGATTTCTTTTATAGAGCGGACGAGTTTAGCCTTATATATTTAAATATTTCACGTATTACTTAGCGATGGCTAAGTAAATAATTATGCGTTTGATCTGTTCAAAAAAATGTTATCTCTTTTATAACGAAATCAGTTATCGAATGGTCAACTGCAGAATCAGTTTGAAGACCTTTCTCTGTCAAACATCATATGACAGTGACGAAACATTTTGTCAAGAAAACTGTCAGCTGAAAGAAAATACAAAAAAAAAAGAGATTTACGCCATCCAAACAGTTAAAATGTAAAGACGTCTTTTGATGTAAAAGGCTTCCAGGATTTTTAATTGCTTTTTGCAGTTAGGGTGGTAAAGTTGTGTTGCATTGATGAGCAAAATCTGACGGAAATTAGAAAGGTTGATGTACATTTGTGTTATATATTTGCATATGGCTCACACAGATGGCAGGTTCATCATCTGGAATGGAATGCTGAAATATATTTTGACGGCTTTTTCTTTTTCTCAAAATACTCACAATCTGCTATATTTAAACATACAATATAAATACATGTCCCTTCCAAATTCGGTTACATTATAATCAACAATACAAAATACCTCTGCAACTCCAAGTGAAAAAAAAACAAGTGTAAAAATTCTACAAGATCTTTACAATTAAAGAAGCAACCGATTATCAGTCGAATTTGTTACATTCAGGGCACGAACGTGGTAAAATACCTTTGAAATGCATGATCATTATAATCACGTGAGCTTAATTACAAACACGCACACACGCGCGCACATGCAAACACATACACACACACACACACGCACACACACACATATATATATGTGTGTGTGTGTGTGTAATATCAATTTATAATTGATCAGGAGAATTCCGAGGAGGTTATTAATGCAATGAGAGTTCAATGTAAATTACAAGGCAATATATAATGATAAATTAAGAAAACAACTTAAAAATCCAACTCAGTTATAGTTTATTTCATGAATATTGTTATATTCATCTCTTCAGACTGAAAGATTTTGAGATCTTTTTTCTGAAAAACTTTCGGTTTGAAGAGATGAATATAACAATATTCATGAAATAAATTATAACCAATATGAATTTTTAAGTTGTTTTCTTAATTTATCATTATATACATACATACATATATATATGTGTGTGTGTGTGTGTGTGTGTGTTATGTTAGCTCTATCACGGATATTGAGCACTTTCCACTAAATATCGTACACGCACACACACACACACACACACATATATATATATGCATATATATGTGTGTGTGTGTGTAGCTGGGTGTGTGGGTGTGTTGCAGTAAAGACGTTAAGCTGATTATTATTTGGTATAATTAAAAAAACATATGTTAAATAAATGAAAATAACCATTTTTCCTCCCCTTTCAAAGATTTTAATCAGGGAAAAAGTTTATATATATATATATATATATATATACACTTTTTCTTAATTTTTCTTTATATTCTTATATATATATATATATATATATATATATATATATATATATATATATATATATATATATCCGAATGTAAAAAGAACGAAGAGTAAGATTTCAGCGTTTAAAATATTAATCTAAAAAAGGGCTCAATACATAAGTAGACCAACAAATATTTATTTATATGCAGTGTTACATTAGAATGTGCATATACCCACTAGAAAACTGTAGGTCTTGTTGCAACATTGAAGCAGCGTATCCGACTGGCTTCCAATTGGAGAGATCACATAGGTCATCCCTACCGAAGTGCCTCACTCTGGAAGAGCGGTCTAGCTCATCACAGTTGACTTCTATACAAAGTAAGTATCATCGTGATTTCCCATCTAATGAAACGTTAAAAGAAATGTTAACCTTCAAACAAGATGTACAGTTTTGTAGTGGGTATGTACATGTTCTAATGTAACACTTCATTATATATATATATATATATATATATATATATATATATATAGTTAAGTTATAAAGAACTTGGTAAACCGAATTGGTAATACCAAGGAGGATGAAATCCTGAGAGCTCAATGTGAAGAACAGAGCTAATATTTAATGAAAAACAGACCACTTTAAGGTACAATTACAATAATTTAGTTCACCAAAATCCTTTTTAAAAATAATTTCGGATCATCAAAATAAACACTTCCAACAATGAAATGAGAAAATTTTTTCCTCTCATTTCATTGTTGGAAGTGTTACCTGATGATCCGAAATCCTTTAAAAAGGATTTTGGTGAAATAAATTATTGTAATTGTACCTTAAAGAGGTCTGTTTTTCATTATATTTATATATATATATATATATATATATATGTGTGTGTGTGTGTGTGTATGTGTGTGTGTGTGTGTAAAACTTTCAGATAGAGTATATCTGTAAAATGACAATATTAATAAAAACATATTGTCCTTTTACAGATATACTTTATCTGAAATTTTTACACAAAAACTTAACTGACGCGTTTCGTTCTCAGTGAGAACTTATCAAGGCAAATGCTAGGATTTTATTTTGGAATAAGTATAAATACTTGTTTTGACAGCGTTTTGCAGATATTTAGCAGAGCCAAAAATCGGTGAGTTTATGTTATTTGCAAAACTGGGTCGACAAGATTATTTCACTTGGAGTTTGTTTCGTCATCATTGTTCTATTCAATCAATCTTCCCGTCTGTCTGTCTCGATCAGTGCACCTCAAGATTTTGGGGGTTTTTTGTTTTTTTTTTACAATAGATCTTTCGATATTTTCTGTTAGTCATTACACTGAGAAGAGTAATGTCATTCTCTTTATATCTATCTATCGAGCAAACTCTCGATTAATTGTGTATTTCTGTATTCTCTATATCTGCAAGCTTCAATTTCGTAACCGATTATTTAGTAATGGATATTTTTATTATCCATTATTAATTTTTGTTACTAAGAACGTTATTTTAGGGGTTTTTATTTACTTAAATAGTAAAATTAATTACAACCCGCCTAGATAGAGAAATCCTACTAATGAAAGAAAGTACCTACGACAGGAATCGAAGCTTTATCCTTTTTTTCCATAAGGGAAACCGTTTCTATAGCCGAACGTGCCTTTACCAACACTGATATGAAGGTCGCGTTGATATAGCAAGGTTTGAATTTGCAATAATTAAATAGGCAATTCAAACCTTGCTATATCAAAGGCGGATTTCGGTTATAGATATAGCATTATGTTTATATCCAGATTTAGACAGATATGAACAAATATATAGTGGAAAAGAAGTATGAATCAAATTATATATGCAGTCAAGTGCCTGTGCGTGTGTGTGTGTGCGCGCGCGCGGATGCACACACACTTTTATATATATTTCGAGTATCATTTCTAACTATAAAAAGTGAAATTTTGAGAAAGGGGAGGTTGGAATTTTTTAAAGAAAAATTTCAAACGATATTAGATAGATAGATAGATAGGTAGATAGATGGATAGATAGAGAGTTTTACCCGTAGCATTTTATCTTTTTCCCTGTTGATTTTTATGTGCGTCTCTCTATCTAATTTATTGATATGTATCGATCTTTCACGCTGAGTGTCATTTTTTAACAACTGCCAGCCCTTTGCAAATCAGTATTGAGAATGACTCTGACTTTTACCGCTAAAATACGCTAAATAGAATATCTGTATCATCTAAAATAAATCATTAATATGTACACTTTACACGTTTATATATATATATATATATATATATATATATATATATATATATATAGATAGATAGATAGATAGATAGATAGATATAGATAGATAGATATGCATATATATATATATGTGTGTGTGTGTTTATATATATATATATATATATATATATATATATATATATATATATATATATATTATAAAAAAAAGTAAATAGGTTTGCCTATCATCCGGTCCATACGCCTCCTTGGTCTTTTTATAAACCGATCTAGATGTTTATTCCTTGTTTCCTGTTTAGGATTGGTTTTCCGGTTCTTTCTAGTTTTCCTATTCTGTTTCACTCCCAGTAGTCCTTTGTGTGTTATATATGTTATCGCGATATATGGGTGAATTGATTAAAACATAGACACACACACAAAATCTTTAGGACTTCATATCGGACTAATGAACGAAACTCATCAGACGAAAGTTTTCCACTTTGATTATATATATATATATATATATATATATATATATATATATATATATATTTATTAATATTAACCAGGTGACAAAAATGAAGCATGGATATTGAGGTTCCAAGTTCGGAATTTTCAAACACGCCTGTGTTCTTCATCAGAGGATACGAGAAATAAACAGAGGGACGATGGAGACTATTCAACATTAGTTTTTTGAAAGTGGTAGAGTCCTGCTTGCGGGTGGAATTGTTAGAAAATATCCCTTTCCAGCTTGATTTCTCGCTGTGATGAAGAACACAGGCGTGTTCGAAAATTCTAAACTTGGAACCTCAATCTGCGTGCTTGTCACCTGATTAATATCAATAAATGTTTTTCATACTCATTTCATCGGTAGCCTTTCGTTTGACTTTGTTTTATTGGCCAAATTTTCTACTCTACATTATAAACTATATGAAGCATACGTAAACTTTTTCTTATATATATATATATATATATATATATATATATATATATATATATATATAAAAAAAGGCTTAAACACTAATATTCCATGGCCATAATTTATTCCATTGGAATCGTAAATACGATCCAATTCATCAGACCTACAAATTCAAAAAGAAAACAGAAAAAACAACTCCGAGAATAAAAAATAAAATTTAATGAGAGTGTATATATGAGAGTGTGGGACGAATGTTAGAGTAAATGAAAGCTATAGGGAGGGGTATCGGACGAGAGAAGAACAGGAAGGTCTAAAGATGAAGGGGGGATTAAAATTTAACAGGGAGAAGTTTTAAAGAGGGGAGTCAAAGACGGTTTAAGTGAGAGAAATATGAATATTCTTGGATGTCTAATACATTAAAGATACACCAGAAAAGAGTATACATTTTGTATGACATACACACAACAATAGACGATATATATATATATATATATATATATATATATATATATATATATATATATATATATATATATATATATATATAAATTAACTATGCCTACCGTATGTAATGATCAAAACGATAGCTTCGACAGTGTAATGAATTCTGCCCTCACGAGTGGTATAAACTGTACCAGAACCAATATTTTAAATGTTTCTTGCTAGAGGAATACATACTGAACTTATTGTTATGCACTGATCTAAAGAAATAACCTAATAATATACACCATTTTCTCTTTCGTTGAGCACCCTTACAACAGCCTCATTTAGTAACCCTCTACTTTGAGTGGCTTTTGGGCCTTTTATTCTTTGAATTAATTCATTGAGAACATTTTTCTTGAACGTAAAATGAAATAAACAACGTCGACATGAACTCCCTTGCAGCATTACGTCTGCTGTCGGATAATTGAATAATGACTAATCTTTCTACTACTTTGATGTCACTTCCTGCCACTTCCGTACGGCTGAGGGCCAGTGTATATAAGCGGTCTGCGAATCAGTGTCATCAGTAGTTCTCGATTTATAAAGTTAAGCCAAAATTTCTGTGACACAGAGTAAAAAGACACGCGTTACTTTTCAAGTAAACATAACTATTTCATTACTGTATTAACCGAATTCAATTACGCTCACGGGAAATAAGTGTTATGCATTTCATGTCGAGAACAGTTCATTGCAACCTCCTCTACGACTATAACAACAAGCATCAAAACAACTAAAGGGCGTATATATGAGACATATCAGATTTAGCAGTGATTTAAGTGTTACTGTTAATTCAGTAGTAATTTGAAAATAAAACAAGTAACAGATTTGCCTTTTCAGAGGGAGTATAAGACAAGTAATAGATTTGCTTTTTCAGAGGGAGTATAAGACAAGTAATAGATTTGCTTTTTCAGAGGGAGTATGACAAGTAATAGATTTTCCTTTTCAAAGGGAGTATAAGACAAGTAATAGATTTTCCTTTTCAGAGGGAGTATAAGACAAGTAACAGATTTGCCTTTTCAGAGGGAGTATAAGACAAGTAACAGATTTGGCTTTACAGAGGGAGTATAAAATAAGTTACAACAGCCGTTTTCTTGTTATATTTAGGTTTCGCCTGATTTTCTGTTGTTTGTTTGATTTGAAAGATAGTCGCCGAGCTAAAACTACGGGTAAGTCTTATGGAGCATGGAAACAAAAGGTATACGTATAATCTGAATCAGAAAATGACAGCTGAAATTCCTCATATAATGTGGAAGGAAAGCTTGGGGAAATTGATACTCGGCATATCGAAGGGTAAAAGTGACGCGGGAAACAGCGGGTCACTTACCTGATGAACTTTTGTGAATCGATGCCGGATCGGCGGGTGGTAAGGATGGCAAGAAGAAACTTTACTAAGCGCTACAAAGGATAGGAATCTGTGGAGAGCCATGATCAGCTACATCCCATAGGGACACGGCGCAAAGAAGGAGAAGGGGAGGAGGGGAGAAAGAGGAGAAGAAGGTAGGATATTAATAATAATAATAATAATAATAATAATAATAATAATAATAATAAGAAGAAGAAGAAGAAGAAGAAGAAGAAGAAAAATATCATCTGGAAGTTGCCTTTTGAAGTCTCAAATATAATCTATTTTTTTTTACATTAAAAAAGTCTGATTGTCTGTGAAAACAAATTGACTCCGGAAGTATGCTGGTTGGATTAGAGTTCAATCAATGTATTTTTCCTGCTTTTTACAAACTTGTTTCCGGAAGAGACTATGTTTAAAGGTCCAAATTTAAAGTTTTGTAACGAATTCTTAAAAAGAAGCAAATTATTATTTATTTATTTATTGCTTTATTTATTTTGCATATCAAACTGATCGACATATGAAGCGTTTTTAATGACCCCTTTTACATTTACACACCAGAGGAGCTTAGAACCATTTCCTACAGATAATGCCATTAATTACATGCATATAGCTTAAGTCAATATCAAATTTGCGCAGGATTACTTCTATTTCATATGTCTATTGTTCAGAGAAACAAGAAGAGTTTTTTGTTTTTTGTTTTTTGTTTTTTTTCGTCTTCCTTGTTAGCTTTTTGATGATTTTTGCCCGAAAGATTAAAAAAATAAATAAAACAAAAAATAGATAATTTAAAGTTGAAATATAGCCTGATATTGGGGGGGGGGAGTTTTATAATAAAAAAAAATGTGACTCCAGCCAACAATAACTGTAATTATGTCAATGAAGTTCGTGCAGTCGGAAGAATGAGGTCGGGTGTCTTTCGGCAATTTCCGTGATAGAAGTTTAGAAACAGACAATTCCCGGCGTGCGCTGTAAATTTAATGGCGAAAGGACATACTCGAAAAGATTTCAAAAGGAGGAAAAAAACTATAGAATACACACGGCAAAATTCTAAGAAAAAACAAAACAATGATCAAACGTCCAAATTAAATTATTTAAGAAAGAAATTAATCAAACGTTTTCCGCTTAAAAATAAATTTATATATCTTATGTGGTAAATTTTTGAAACGTCAAGAGAGCGTCAGAATAAAGCGGCGAAATGTTTACTATTACAGGGTCTTTAGTAAAGGGAAGAGGAAAACTACGCGTAAATAGAAGGGGGGAGGTCGTGATGGAGATAAAACGAAGAAACCTAAGAAAGTACACATTGCAATATGAAGATATCTATATAGAGATTATATTTAGCAGCAGAGGAAGGGTCTGGTTAGCAAAGTCTAATTACTGCTTTTAAACAACAAATTTCCCGTGATTTCTCTCGAACGCTCATACCTACTCGAAGCGTATCTTAATGTAAACGAATGGCGTAATATATTATGAAATGGACTAAGTCCGACAATTATATTAATATAATTATTGTTTATACATTATTTTTATAGATACAAACATTTAAGTAAATGCTCTGTATATAATAAACAGTATTAACATCATCTAGCAGCCCGAATGTCTAAAAAAAAACAATAAATACTTTAAACAATAAATATATTAAACAATAAATATATTAAAATAATTATTTTGATAACCATAAATGTATTAACGCACAGGTATGATTGTTTCTATGAATATTTTATTATTATTAAAATTTTCGGTCTATATATATATATATATATATATATATATATATATATATATATATATATATATATAGACCTGGCTTCTTTAGTATTTCCTCTTTTCTAGCGAGATTAATGCTCGACAAGCGTACATATAAATTTTAGATCAAAATAGAATTCTTTTCATTTTTCATTCAAAATACTCAAATTTTAGGAATACATTTTCACCGCGTCGCCTACATGACGACAACGTGACCATGTTTTAAACAGAGCGCTGATCTTATAAAACTTTCAGTTATTTGTTTGGATAAGTCTTGTTCTTATGTACATCGTCTTTGTCATGTTGTATTGATAATGTTAATTATATTTTATGAATACGTCCTGAA